GCATTCATAGCTGTACGGTGAACCTGTTACACGAGCTTCTGTGAAACAGACAGCATGCCAATGACCTGCAAGCAAAAACAAACGCAGCCGGTAAAACAAACGCTACATAACTTCCCAACATAAACTTGTACATGCTGATGAGAAGCAAGAATGTGCTTGATGTTGGAAGTTATGCTCGCATATTCAAAAACATGCATGGAAAAAACATCAATGACATTGTTCACGAATACAACAGATACATCATACAGGGACAGAGAAAGTAATTCTTCCTCCGTTTGTATACGCGCACGCGCGCGCGCGCGTGGTAGATAAATCCGTTTGGCATGACTTTCGATCGAGGTCGCGTTCGCCGTAGAGGTAGGTCAACTCGAAGCCAACACCTCTCACTTTCGCTCTACTGCCCCTTTGGGGCCGATGCGATCCTTGCGCCAAGTTGTGGTAGTGGCTCAACAGAACAGGACGGGTGTGTGTGTGTGTGCGCGCGCGCGCGTGCGCGCATGTGTGTGTGTGTGTGTGTGTGTGTGCATGTGTGCGTGTGTGTATGTGTAAGTGTGGTTTCTGAGCTTTTCTCACAATCGTATAAGTTTCATTTTTTGTGAAAACCCAGCTACACTGTGACCCGTACAATCGCATGTCGTTTACCTGGCGGTCAGTCCCTTTTTTTTTTTACCAGAAATCACGAACCTCGAGAACAGAATATTGCAAGATAGAGGTGGTTGCAGACGCAACTGCGGTGGTGAAACTGGAGCATCTCCGCTGACCTGAGGTCTCGGCTTCAGCGACACTTCAGTGCACCAAAAACTGGCATGTCGGGTATCCAACAGCACCGCACTGACACCTTATAGACCTTATATTTAGCATTTATAGTCCTACTTCAAGTAAATGTAGACAGATATATGAATTTCAGGATGGCGGGCGGGAGCACTTTTGGAGCTCCGCCTCGCATCACTTTTTCCTTTCAACTTGATCCTCTTTGGGAGATCGATCATGTATTCTTCATTAAGGAACTAGCTAGAAATGGAGTCAAGCCCGACGAACTCCAGCAAGTGGACCTGCATGGCAGACCAGGCTGGTGCACTGTCACCCTCAAGCATGCTGCCGCCAGGGATCGCCTTGTGTCCACGTCTTTCAAAATTGCTGGTAAGGCAATAGATATTGTCATGGGAGACACCGAGCTCATTAGCTTGCATGTGTTTGGCTGTCCGTATCACCTGCATGACGGTGCATTGTCTTCGGCCATAAGCCAGTATGCAACGATTCACGGGTCTCCTGCTAGGAAAAAAATCCTGCACGAAGGGTTCTCAGTTGAAACCGGTACTCGCTTCTTGAAGGTGACATTGCGAAAGCCAGTTCCGTCTCTTGTTCGCGTGGGTCAGACCCCCCTACGCATCTGGTACAAAGGGCAACCCCAGACATGCTTCCGTTGCGCAGCACCAGGCCATAAAGCCAGTGAATGCCCACGCCGAAAACCTCCAGCTAGTCTGTCAACAAGTACGGGATGCACCGAAGTGAACAGGTCAGCAGCAGACCCTCAAAATACGCATAATCAAGAGGTTGCAGCTGCAGGATCAGTGCATGTGCAGCATGATGAACACTCCCGGGAAAACGCACCTACGAGTATGAGCTACGCGCAAGCTGCTACCAAATCAAGAGAAAGTAGCAGCACAGATTCCTGTGGAAAGCACTCGAGCGACAACATGGCACCAACTGAAGAGACCACTGACTCTTCTCCACCAGACATTCAACACACCATCACAGTATCAACAACACCCATGCAGACCAATAAGTCTCCTTCCTACTGTATCACGCCTCCTAGAACGTGCAATCCACCGTGAAGTTGTTCGATACTTCGAGTCCGAGAATCTTCTTCCGGAAACTCAGTTTGCCTACCGTCGCCATCATTCCACGGAGGACGCGCTGACACTGGCCGTACATCGATGGAGCACAGCTAGGGCCCGGAAACAGTCCACTGGTATTGTGTTTGTCGATATGTCTAAAGCGTTTGATAAGGTTCGCCACCAAACGCTGTTAGATGATCTTCACGGAAAGGGTGTACGTGGCACTGCTCTGGCCTGGTTTGCCAGCTATTTGTCGGGTCGGAAACAACGCGTTAAAGTTGGTTCTTCAGCGTCATGCTACTCGGAGTGTTCAAGTGGTGTACCGCAAGGTAGGGTTCTCGGCCCGTTTCTTTTTTCTGTTTACATCAGTTCCATCGACTCTCATCTACCGCCTGGTATTTGTCACCAAGAATTCGCCGATGATATCACTTTAGATACATCATCATCCAGCCGTGCAGACATCAGCTCTAAGCTTAGTGTCGCATGTACGCGTCTCACCGTCTGGCTCAATGGACGCGGTTTGAGCCTCAACGCCACCAAGACCTGTGTGCTGCACATTGCTCCCCGGAGCACCCTTGATCCCTTGCCGCCTGTGATATGCGATGGCGCTGTACTCCCTGTTGTGTCGCAGACCAAGTACCTGGGCTTGATTGTAGACGATCGCCTGACTTGGAATAGCCACGTTACGCATATCTGTAAAACGTCTCGACAGGTTATAGGAGCACTGTGGAGAAATCGGAAGTGTCTCTCTCTGCAGTCGAAGCGAATGGCGTACACGTCCATGGTAGAGTCCAGGATCCGCTATGGATGCTCAGCTTTCTTTAGCTCTCTCTCCAAGGCTAATAGAGAGGTTCTGCTATACGTGAAACGTAGAGAAATCACGTAGAGAGCAGGTGTCTGGGTTAGAGTCTACGGCTTCGCGTGTTTTGGCTCCAGATTTCTACGCGGAGATGGGGTTCTCTACGTTGTGGCACACGCAGAGAAAATGCGTACGGATTTGCTGGGTATCGATCAACTGCATGCAGAAAACTGCCAAATATGGAAGGGGAAATTCCCAGTACACATTCCACGTGACTTCTCTAGGTGAAACGTAGAGCAGAACGGCATTTCTTTACGTTACGGGAACGCGAAGAAAGTTCGCGTGATTCTTTGCGTCGCGTTCCCAACACGTAGAGCAGAACCTCCCTACTGAAGAGAGACTTCAACGCCTATGCAACCTAGCCCTGCGAGCCGTATACAACCTTACCTCCCGTACCCGTATGACTCCCGTGTATGCGGAACACAACCTGCTTCGTGTACACCAGCTCTTGCGTGAAACAGTGTGCTCACTGGTCTACCGGTGCCTACATTCCACCATGGAGCAGCCGCTGATCAGCGCATTTTTTGGAGATTTCGTCACTCCGACTAGGGCTGGCCAAACGCGCGGCTCCCAACAACATCTGCTGCAGCTTCCATCCAGAACTCATCCCGTGTCTCTTTCTGCTGCACGCGTTTGGAACAGTCTTCCACCTGATGCGAGAAACATCACGTCCCCCCTCCAGTTCAAGGGTGTGTTGCACGCGTATTGTCTTACTGTAGCATGACAGCAACCCCCCTCCCCTATCTTGAGTATAGTACTAGTAATATGTAGTAATCCTGATGCTCTGATGCATGCCGAGGCTAGCTGTGCTCAGTCTCCGGCTAGCTGTATGCTCAGGATGCATTCTTGATCTTCTCTTCTTCTTCTTCTTTTCTTTTTTTTCCTTTCTCTTTTCTTTAAAATGTTTTACTGCCAGAAGTCGTCTTCATATAAGGAGGCAGATATGCCTGTTTGTTGTACGACTTTAAATAAATCCAACCAACCAACAGTCAGCATCATGAAAGTTGCCATTACCCAGAGTTAACTACAAGCCAGTCCCTTGAGATGAGCACGACTGTCTTAGGGTAATACCGTAAAGTACCGCCAGAGCGCCCCACCATCTCATCCTTTCGTGGTCGTATTGTGGAGGCGGTCTGCTGTCTGTAGGTCATACGACATGAACCTTGTACACATATTGCAAGTTTTGCAGTCAATCCGTACCTTCAAGAAGACACAAGCTCTACACAAAAACCTGCCAAGTGTGACCTTAGTACACTAAGATTCTTACATCGTACACACTTCGTTGCACTCTGCCATACGATTTTCCTTTCTCTGGCTGTAAATCAAGGTGGGGCGCTCTCGCGAGACGGGGCGCTCTGGCGGTACTTTACGGTACTAGACACCCTTAGTAAACAACGGTAACGCTATTTTTACGGTACTCGTACCTTGATCACCCAAAATTTAATAGCGTTGAAGCTGCAGCGTATAAACGTTATGGGGGCTGATTTATCGTTGTGACCAACGGTACGTGTTTTAGCCAAATATTGCATAGTCCGTACGCATTTCATCTTGTATCGCGTATATGGTGACAAAAATGGTTGTACCGCGCGAAATCAAAGCTATTCTCGTGGCAACAGCGTACTAAAAATAGCGTGCATCTTGCTAAAGGTATAACCAAGAGTACATAAACCAGAGTGTGCAACTCTGCATATCAGATCTGAAACAGCGCAGTTCGTGCACTACGTCACCCTGATGAGGTCAGCCAAGCCGCGACTTGCGTACAGCTCAAATTTTCATGTTTCATAGCCCGGAAATCAGCCAAGTTTGCTTGATTTTAGACGTCCAGTTTCAGTATTTCGGTGTTTTGTGTGACTGTGTACGCTGTGTACATCCACCGACAAGTAAAGTCACCAGGCTATCCGTATCAAAAAAACGAAATCCGGACAAACTCAGTGACCTGCACCACCGCGACTGGTTACGCAACTTTTCACCGTACCTGTGGCTTACCATGCCGTCAGAAATGACGCAGTGCACGAATTACGCTCCCACAGGAACCATCCCGAGTTGCACACTCTGGTTTATGTACTCTTGGTATAACCGAAATCACACACACTGCAACAACTCTACACATCCTGGAACCTGTTCAGCAGCAATGCTATGGCCACCGTCCACAGCAACACACACCGCGCTGTACGCGACTGCTGGGAGTGGAATTTGGAGGTCAAAAGTGCACCGATCCATCAGTCAACCTAGACGTCATCACCACAGTCTGCAGCAGCTGCCCAGATCTCCTGCTCGTCAGTCTCATCGACTGCGTACTGGATATGGAAGGTCTAACCCAGCTAGCACCATTGTTAGGAGCACTGAGGCTGAGAGTGCTGGTGCTGCACAAGGTTGGGATGAAGCAGAACTCGGCTACGATCGTCAGTAGAATCATTCAACAGCAACACGAGAGTTTGGAGGTCCTCGTAGATCTACTCTTTCGCAATGAGCTAACTGGAGATTTCCTGGAAACCATTCGTGGTGAGCTGAGTCAGTGCCAACGCCTAGAGCAGCTGTACCTGGACGACGACTGCCTCTCGTCGGGAGCTCTGCCGGTGCTTGCGTCCCTGCTGCCCAGTCTGCCCAAGCTCTCCCTGCTCGAAGTGGCGAGGAATGATTTCCGAGATGCTGACGACGAAGCAAAGCTGTTCGCCACCGCTGTCAAGAGCTGCTCATCTCTGAAGGAGCTGTGGATGCCTGAAAGTGCTCTAGTGTCTCCGCGGCTGCGCGATGCTCTAAGTGCCATGGCCAGAGATGATCTGAATTTGCAGTATAAGCAGGTTCGCTGGAACGACGGAGTGGAGAATGCCGAAGAAGAAGAAGACGAGTACGGCGATGAAGGAGATAGTGGCAGTGAGGAATGAGGAGGTGAGAGGATTGACATGGACGGATTTCTGTCCTTATGCAGAAAGCTTCGTTTTCGTCTATCACTTCCTCCTGGCATACAGTCCGTCTGTGTATATGATTAGGAGTACACGTGTGTATGTGTGCATGCGTGGTAGTATTGCTGTGTGTGCGTGCTTGTAAGTGCGTGTATGTATATACTTGAGCGTGTGTGTTGTGTGAATGCATGTGTGTCTGTACATTTGTGTTACCGATGGACATTCCTTTCTTCATTTTCAGTCAGTTTGAGGGATCACTGTGGTGACCTTTGACCTTTAGACTTTGGACCCTGTAAATGGAAGTTTTTCGCTCCGTGATTTTTTTCGATAATTCTGGACTGTCGCTGATAGAATTATTGTCATTGAATTGTTGGTTTTTGTTGATGTGGTTTTAGTTGATATGTGTGATCAATTCTTTGCATATACATGTACATATACATTGTATGTCTGTTTGTATGTTTGTAGATTGTTTAGTGAATTTTGTTAAAATGTTTCTTGTATAGAGGGAGTAGAAATGAGAGAATAGAAAACACAGATGAAAATGTTTATTGAGAACTAATATTCATAGCATCATCACCTTGCCACTCACATAGTTCTTACTTGTGCATAGTGCAATGTCTTTACTGGTGGCAGGTTTCTTGGCATATATTTTCATCTGGTAATAGTGTAGTAATGTTTAGATGTTTTTTTTGCAATTCACTAGTTTCCTCTCTAGTGGGATCTCATGATGATATTAGGATTATATGACGAGTATTCTTCAAATTATTATAGTTATATGCGTGCGTATATGCACGTGTGTGTGTGTGTGTGTGTGTGTGTGTGTGTGTGTGTGTGTGTGTGTCGTGTTGACCAGGCTGAATAGTGGCGGTCAATTCTTCAGCCTTGCAAGCTGTTCAATGATGCAATCCCAGCACAAGTTGCTATGGCTTCTGCTGTAGCATCGCTATCATTGACTCGGATGATGGGTGTCAGAACGTCAAAATAGGTGTTTGTGTGTATGTGTGTGTGTGTGTGGACAGATACACATACACATGTACACACACACACACACACGAGCGCGCACACACGCATGCGCGCACACACACAAGTTCAACACCGCAAGGATGGAGCAATACCACGTACATGTAGAATGAGTGCTTGAAAAATACTTAGCTGCGTCGTTATGTACACGAACAAAAAGAACAAGATACTTGAAGCAATCCGTTTGAAATCCAGAACGTATTCTTGTGACCATTATCAGTGGAAAATCGTCACTGAACCTCGATAACAAGAAATGCCACAAGGAGAGTGCATTCCATCCATTTTACAAACTACACAGCGACGATGATAGTGGGAGGTATTTGTCACAAATAAATTTGGGTTTTCATCAGCTTTAGTCATAACTGCTCATCATGGTAAACACACACACACATACACACATACAGACACACACACACACACACACACACACATACACACACACACACACCCCCCCCCCCCCCACACACACACACGCACACACGGACACACATACATACACACACACATACACACACACACACACACACACACGCACGCATACACACACATACACACAAACACACAAACACACGCACCTTGACCTTGACCTTGCCCATTGCGTAGCAATGATAGCGCATTGCTATTTTTCCAGTCCACGACAGGATGACTGATGGCGTTTCAGGTCGCCGCTTCCACAGAACATGCGGCCGCAGGCCGAACCGTAGCCAGCAGCAGAGGGTGCCTTGGGTGGTCGACGGGGAAAAGTACGCCACTCCGGACGGTTCTGTGCTGCACCGTACCATCAACATGTTGGTACCCGTGGCTCAACCGACGCAACGTCATCCATAATGACGTCCCTGCACCTCTTGCGTGGACCGTGTGCGGGGCGCGGGGCAGGCAGTTCACTGAAGAGAACACACTTTGGCAACCGGGGATCTTCCATCCGTGCCACGTGTCCAAGCCAGCGCAAACACCGTTCCCGCACGATGTGACCAATGTCCTCGGGCACACCAAGGGTGTTCGCAAGGGCACACACACACACACACACACACACACACACACACACACACACCTCAGACCTCAGACCTCAGACATGCCCATCGCGGAAGCGATGATAGCGACCAGCTATGTTAGACATAGCAACTTGTGCTGGGATTACACCATTCAACAGCTTGCAAGGCTGATGAATTGACCGCCACTATTCACACACAGACACACACACACACACACACACACACACACACACACACACACACACACACACACACACACACACACACACATGTTCAGCCATGATCACAGGAATGCATATGTATGTGAATATCTGTTAAAGTGAATGATGATTTCTAGAATAATACATGATACAGTGTACTAGTAGCTGTGAGAATACGTAACTTAGTTACTTGACTAGATTAGACTGTGTGACCATGTAGTACTGCAAGAAATTTGAACATCTCTCTGTCTACGTGGTCAGTGTATGTTCTGCAGTGATATGTTACTACACAACCTATGTTCTATATAGCAATACAGGAGACCGGCAACACAGACTGCCTTTGCAACAGAGACTTTTAACGGGTCATGCACTCCTAGATCATCTATGAATGACACCAACACAAAGACACAAACACGAACGTGCACACACAAATATACTCACACGAGCACACACGATCACGAACGCACACACACACACACACACACACACACACACACACACACACACACACACACACACACACACACGAGTACACACACACAAGCACACACACCTTTGAGAATTTTTTTAACAGCCCTAAACGGGCTACATCCTGCATTAAACACGGCAGCAGGTGAACGTGACGGTGTGATATTCTTCTTCCTATTATTTTTATGATTTATTATTTAACTCGGATGGCGAGCAAATTATATTATGGTACAAAAGGAGAAGGACAAAAATAATGTTACGAGTTATGAATAACTGTCCACCAACGTAATCAGATCTTAAACAGTTAGCGAGTGCGACAAAATGGCACAAAACTGACAAGGAATACTGAGACCTTTCCGAACCTGAGCCTTCCAAGTTGGAAGATTGTTGGTTTGCGCCTTAGAGAAGTGTTGGAGCTAGGTGTCAGGTCACCGAATGTCTCAGTATTCCTTGTCAGTTTTGTGCCATTTTGTCGCACTCGCTGACTGTTTAAGATCTGATTACGTTGGTGGACAGTTAGTCATAACTCGTAACATTTTGTCCATTTCCTTTTGCACCATAATTTATTATGTATTCAACATCTCCTCGAGAAAGCTTTCGACACCGTGTGGCACCGTGCATTACTTGCAAAACTTTCCAAAGTTTTCGGTGTGCGTGGCGCAGCGCTGGAGTGGATTACAGACTACCTATCCGACAGAACGCAAGGTTGTCTTTGTAGGTGGACTTCTCTCAGATGCTTCACCTGTTCTGTCCGGAGTGCCCCAGGGATCCATCCTAGGGCCCCTCCTTTTCCTAGTGTATAATGATCTTCCCAGTCATGTTGAAGGTATGTCCTTATTTGCTGACGATACTACACTGCTCCGGTTCAATGAGTGTCTAGACAGGCTGCGAGACAGTCTCCAGCGCGGTATCAACGAAGTCCATCAGTGGATGACTACCTGGAGACTAAGAGTAAGACCTAATATCGCCAAGACTGAGATATTATTCCTGCCGAACTCAGAGCCAACCTATGCATTCACTCTTCCCAGATCCCTCACAGACCTCACAGTGGTAAAACAACACAAGCATCTTGGTTTGGTCATTGACTCAGACTTATCGTTTAGTAGACATGTCGACTATATCTGTAGCAAAGTCAGTAAAGCTGTTGGCTACCCCGTGTCTCACTGCTCCCACCTACCGCTTGAATGCATTCGCCTTTTTTTATCATTGCTATATTCTCCCCATTTTTCTCTTTTGCTCAACCGCCTGGTCATCCCTACTAAGTTAATGAGTACCCTGGAAGTCCACAATAAGAGGATACTCAAAGTCCTTTTCCGCAAACCATCATACTTTCCTTCTGCCGAGCTGTATGATATGTTTAACACCTTCCCTATCTCTAGTCAAGCGGATCGAAAACTGTGTATTGTTGTTCATTCTATTCGCCTTGACAAAGCCCCGCCACACTTGCGTAAATATAACTGGTTTCTTCCCACTCGTCCTACGCGCAATCCCTGCACTTTACCTAAAGCGCGAACATCAGCTTATACCAGATCTCCGTTTTTCGCTGCCTATTCTCGCTGGCTGGCCCTGCCTCTATCAGTAAAATCGTCTTGTACGCTAAAGGATTTCAAGGCCAACATGAAGCTCGTGTTCTAATAACTGCTAATTCTTCATCCAGATTTGTTTCTCTTTGCCTCCAGTAATGTGTAATATTTATTTATTTTGCTTTGTTTTTGTTTACTGCCATGGCTGGCTACCGCCCCCTCCCTCCATATCATTGGCCTATATTCTCTGGCCACGGGAAGGTGAAGTAAATAAATAAATAAATCTCCTGACTCGTCGTAAATAGACTGCCAATATTTACGAGAAGTCGGGTGGTAGCCAACCACGGCGAACAGAAACAGGGAGGTGTTGGCACAGGGTAATGAGAAGGAATTGCGTGTTGATCTGGTGGACACAAACCAGTAATGCTTAGCAAAGTGTTTGGGAACCAGATCTAATACGATCATGTGTACCAGGATGCAAAGATGTTGCTGGTGTCGCTCTGAAACGGGAGATACTGAAGCTAAACTGTAGAGACGTTGGGAGGAGAATGTTTGGTCTTTGCGAAACAGGATTTTTAAAAGCAGACGCTGGTGTATTTCCAGAGTTTGAACAAGGGCCTGAGACAGACCGCACCACGCTGTATCACAATGCATCAAATATAGATAGAATATACGACGTAAAGAACAATTTTCAGCAATGGTCATTTAAATGTTGGCAGTGAGGTTGCAGCATGCCAAGGGAGGAACTGGCTCGCTTTCATACAGACTTGACCTGTGGG